AAAAAAACATGGGCTCTGGGACCAAACGTTCTGAAATCAAAGCCTACTTTCTCATGCGTGTGAGCCTGGACACATCACTGAATCTCTCATAGCTTCTCTTTCTTCCTCTGCAAAATCGCCATACTCACCTCAGAGGTTGTTGTGAGTATATGTTGAGCTGATGAATACCTAATGCCCGGGAACTTCCATGGAAAGTGCCTGCCTCAACAGAGGGTCTGTGCTTTTCAGGGGAGGAGAGATCGCATCAGGTCAAGGCACCAAAACTCAAGGTGGTAGAACAGTAGACGATCCTCAATGAATGGATAACATCTCAAGCTGCAGACATGGGTGCAGAGACCACTCCAGAGGCCAGGAGAAAGTGTGAGCAAAGGCAAGGAGAGGGGTAGACAGCCTGCGGAAAGAGCTAGAAAGCCTGCCCTGGCTGGAGGTGAGGCAGGCAGTAGGAGACTAGCGAAGATAAACCTCTGTCCAAGGCACTGCCCTCTTCCGGGACTCCCCAGTTTAGCCTTGGGACTGGAGTGGCCTGGCAGCCGGTGTGCCCCTGTCCTTACCTCACTCCCTTTTTAGAGCAAATAAAGGTCAACCAGGAGCAATTATTGGGTCCACCTGTCTGAACCCATGCACTATCAACCAAGCAGTTAGGTCAGCAGACATGTACTTACACCCTAATGGACCCCGCCTGCGGCTGCATTTGTCCCCAGGAAAACAAAGATCGAGGCTGGTTTAAATTGCGCTCCCAGTTAACTATTCCCAGCACCCACCATGCGTGAGTCATACTGTATGATCCTCATGTGGAAAATGGCAGGGAGAGACACTCATTAAACTTTAATGAGCACGCATCTCTTTATCTGTGCTATCAAAATATTTTGATGAGAAAAGTATGTTTTATTAAAATCAGACATAGAGGTTTTTCTCAAGTGTTGTTAGTTGTAAGATGCTGTAAGTCAAGAAAAGACTCCACCATTTTGATTTTTAGTGAACAGCTACTTTTTGGAGAGAATGGGGACGTGGAGGGAATTGAGCTGATCCCCAGGCTAGAGACTAGCTTGCTTGCAATCTGCAATGTATAACATGGAAACAGTGTTCTGGTGGGTTTCTCCCATTCCCAGTTGGCAGTGAAGGCTTCCGTTTTCAGGTTCTCTAGCCAGCTAGAGTGAGAACACTGGGAGGGACACCGGCAGTCCCTTCTACAAAGAGGTGGAATAACGTAGTGGTTTCAGTGGCTGGAGTCGGACCTCCTGAGTTCATAATCCTACATGGGCTGTTTTGGGCTAATTACTCAACCCCCTCCTATGTAAAATGGATCCAGTAGGAGTACTGGCCTGGTT